CCCCTTTGGTATTTTTATGTGTGTAAACCCCCCTAAAAAACTAAACCCCCCCCTCCCCCCTTGTTTTGTTTTTTTGTTTTTTTTAATTAAAAATTTAAAAAAAAATGCCCACGGCTAACGTAAAGTGACCTTACCCCCCCCCCCCCCCCCCAACGGAAAAAATGTCAAATTTTCAAATTTCGAGACCAAAAAAAAAAAAAAAAGTGTCCGCTTACAGTGCGACAAATGGAAGTTTAAAAATGACAACAGATGAACGATTAATTTATGTCGATTTGACTTCAATTTATTCTTAATCATACAATTCATCAACATAAACTTAGCTCCCATCTAAATAATTTATCTTTCTTTATGATTAGGTCTATTATCCAACATCGTTTAACTTACAGAATTCCCGACGTTGACTTGGTACACCTTGTATCCAGGATGGGTTTTTCCTGTTTATCTTCAAGATCCAGACTTTGACTCGACTGATCTACCTCTGATGATAATGACTTACGATGAGCCATCTCGTGGTATAGTCCAAGTTTCCACAATGTTTACTATTTAAGAAAAACTGAAAAGAGGATAAATTCGTCATGTTCTTGTAAAAAATAGAGGGGAATCTATTTTTTTTCCCACTGAATATACAATAATATAACTTGTATGATTTTCTTCCGAGTTTGCATGCTATGGCTGATTGATATTTTTCTCTGATAATCTATCTCATGGTATGCCCATGTTTCCATTCAGGGGCTTAAAAGATTTCCCCAAAAGCAATTAAAGTGTCCTCAGTTTTTACAATTGCCGATGAATGGTTAAATAAAAAAATTTCCTCAAGCTTAAACGTCAAAATAATCAGACTTGTCGATATCATTCTCTTTCCTTCTTTTTTTCTTCTTTTTTTTCCTTCCCCCATTTAATGTTCAGAATCACAACCTGGCTTAAACAGGACTAAAGTGGGATGTCGCATCGGCTATTATACAATATGGCGACTACTGCTTTGTCGGGCAAGCACAAAACAAAAATGTTGTGACCCAGTGAAACCAAGTTGGCCAAACTTTGTAAATAGATGACTCTGCATGTACGCCGCCAACCGCTGCCGCCCTCTTCTTCAACACCAATGCTATAGAGAGGCAAGGAATTATGACAAACAGAAATGCTAGAGTTGGGAGGGGAGAGAGAGGGGGAGGAGAGAGAGAGAGGGGCGGGTGAGAAGAGAGAGGGGTAGGATAGAGAGGGGGAGGGAGGAGGGAGTGAGTGAGAGAGAGAGAGAGAGAGAGAGGAAGAGAGAGAGTGGAGGAGGGCGGAGGGGGTTGGAAGGAGAGTCGAGGAAGTGTGACATGAGGTCAGGAAGTCAGAAAGCTAAAGAGACGCAGAAGGGAATGGGAGACAAGAGACAGGGGAACACAAAATTCGCTATCAGATACAGATCTAATTAACTTAGTAAACGGGAATGAAATCTTCAGTAGATCTAGACATGTTAACTAGAATCTAGAGTATAATATTTATTATGGCCTATAAATTATTATGGGCTTCTTACTCTTACTATTTCAATCCATCTAGGCCTAGATCTAGATCTAGAGTAGTACTAGTAGTACCAAACCTGCAAAAGTCTACGCATAAATTTCTCTTAATTCACTAACCAATCTCCTTACCTGAATGTATATAATTCTCCTTATTTCGACCGACATAGGCCACTTTGTAATTTCATTCCATCTGCTTCTTCGTTATTGACGTGACCATCCCCCATACATGGCATGCATACTGTATGAACGTACGTACGTGTCATTTGTTTTCCTTCATGACGTCACGGATTTTAGGGACACCTGTCATTGCGTTCGTTGTAGAATACGCGCGCGCATGATACGCCAGGGGGAAAGTCCCCAATGATGCGCCGCTACGTCATAAAGATTATGATGTCATAATATTTTATTGATTTGTGAATAAGCGTCACAATGCATGTGCGTAATACGAGCAATAATCAACCAATCAGAAGGTAATGAATTGCGCGTCATTACGTCACAATGCTTTGACCCCGACCTTTATCTTGCCTCTTCGCGATATACCAAATTCTTACCATATTATCCGTAGACTGAGAAACTACGAACGTAAAATGGGAAATCTTCTTACGAAAGTGAGCCCTTTGTGCTGTTGCCGTTCACAAAAAGGTAAAATATCTACACTTTCGCCACGTAGATAAGTAACTATCGGTTAAGGCTTTTTTTAAATGGATAAATCAGTGAATTAGATAACAGCCAGTAAATATGTATGAACTACAATAGAGCATTTCAAAAGTGAGACGTACATCTGTATAGGCCTATGTGATTTGTTATGTTGATTATAACATATTGCTATTGCGATAATGTTTGTTGTTGTTTTTATTTAATGCCCAGACACAGATGACTATGCGTATTCTGTTACCTTAAATGATTTGAGCTGTCTTTATATTGAATAAATTTATTTCTTAAATTCATTTTCCCTATACCATGCTCACTACTTCATAAATATTTGATAATCCTACCATTATCAGATTCGGAATTAAAACGAGAAACATATAGACCATGCTTTATTTCTTTTATTTTAATTTTCAACATTTAAAGTAATTAACACATGCTTTTTCTAATCAATTGATGATACTTATTATTTGTTCCTACATTCAGTCATATTTAAACGTCATCATTGATTTTTACATTTTTGTACTTTTGTTTTGGTGTTCGCAGATGCGAAGTTGAGATTCATTCTCAGCCAGAAACCATCAAAGTAAGTCAAACGTGTTTTTTCTGCATTTGTTACTTCTTTTCTTTTTCAATTATCTTTGAATTCATCGATCAGAGTATGTTCAATTTTCTTACTTGTTTTTTTACTTTTCTTTTTATACGTCTTCGTATTTTTCATCTGAACTTCTTTTCGCACGAAAATTATCATGATATTGTTTAATGCCAAAGCGATCCCTTTTTTTCTAGTATCATTATTGTTTTGAAGACTAAACAAGTGGCTGTAATATTATAAATTGTTAAAGCCAGGTTTTATGTATTCTTCTTTTCGTTGATCAATTCATACTCTAATTTAAAATAGTTCTTTTGTATTGATATCCTTAGTTAATCGACAATTATATTATATTTGTGTTTCTTAAGGAAACAGTCTCAGATCCTGAAATAGCAATCAAAGATGTATCCCAAGGCGTCAACAAGGTAAACATCTACATATGAAATAACGTATTCTTCTGTAATTAAATCAATGTAAAACTGAGAAATTTAACAAAACATATTGGTTGCTTCATGTTACATATGAAAGTAAAACTAATAAATAAAATTAAGAACTTGAAACTCTTAAATCCGAAACAGATTGAAATGGAGACAATTTTGTGGAATTACTGTTTCTTTTCTCCCTTTTAGGATGTTTCTAGAGACTTGAACGCTACTGTCAAGCAATATATCCAGGTATCTATATAACAATAATTAATTCCTCTTTTGGCCTATATCTGAAACAGTCTTAAATTGCCCTGTGCAGTTTATTTTCATAAAGTACTTCAACCAGTCTTGCTATTGTCATTTGCCAATGACACGAGCTAAATGAAAAGTAATGACAGTAATCGCAAGGTACAGCCAAGAGATCAAGAAAATAAAGTTGGCTACTACACGGCGGACGTTCATTTATTACGTACCAACTCCAACAAAACCACTGTACTTCCGGCCGGGAAATCGCTGCCGACAAGTCAGTACAAACACCGCGGTTCTACCTGCAGCACACGTACCAACCCGGTTAGACGATCGAGTGATCAAAGTTATTTACCCCGTGGTTACCGGGGTCCTGCTAATCGCAGATAGACCTTCAAACTCGACCAAAGTATTCATGGATGTCCACCTGAAAACATCCTCATCTAAAATGGAAAATGTTTTCTTTAAGAAATATACTTCAATCTCGACCTCCTCTGATTTAATGTTCGATGCAAATTTTTTTTTATAGATAACAAGCCAATATACATGTGTATAAATGACATTTTTGTAAATATGATATAAACCGCATTGATTTAATAAAGTTATTAAAACATAATATTATCTGATTTTTCTCCGAGATTCATTGAGAGTACAGTTTAGAGTATCATTTCGTGTTACTTCTCAAGTTTAGTCTCCTTTGTATTCTATTTTCTCCGATTTAGCTTTTCTTTGTGTATTCTTTTATATTTGGTATTATTTTTCGATTTCCGTTATTTATTGATTAGGTTTTTTTTTCTCTCTCTCTCTCTCTTATTCATCTTTGAATGCGCTTTTATGTCTACCTCTATCTCTATCTCTGCCCCTTCTTACTACACTCCCTCTTATCTCTCTCTCTCTTTCCCTATTTTACTTCTCTCTACCTGTCCCCCTATTTTATGACAGAGACCCCGATTACTATTTTTTACATGAGTCTTTGAAGAAAATTTCTCCTGTACAATAACACAGTTAACAAACTTTCTGCTTCATCCCTTTTTCTTTACCTGTAGTCTTTTTCTGTTGCTCTCTCTACCGTCTAGTTTTCCTCAAATCTTACATTCTCTCTCTCTCTTCCTTTCTCTCTCACAATACACAATTTATTACATTGTACACACCAATATCATTTTAGATAATTGATTAAATAACCTCTGAATCTCATAATTCTGTTGAAACTTAATCCGTAAGTTTGCGATTGTACGCAAATTTGGTTAGTTTTTAACAAAATACAAAAAAGATATTAAAAAAGATTATCAACAAGAAATTGTTCATGTTGTAACAAGAGCATTTTCTGTAATAATAAACAAATCCCCACAATGGCACACATGCTTTCTTTTGATATGAAAACAAACACCAATTGATTCTGCATTAAAAAATCATTGCAAAAAAGGGAAGAGGAAGTTACTCTTTCAAAAATCTGATCACGCTGACATTTTTTAAGCCAGTAATTAAAAATTTGGTATTCAGAGATTATGTTTGAAATAACACCTGCCAAGCACAAAAGCACAAATTTTTCACACAAGGACATAAAACAAAGAAGTAGACATAGTATTTGTAATTTTTTAGATTTTTTAATTGTTTTAGACGATACGATATTCCAGTCTACCATGGGATGGGGTTGTATTCAGTGAAGGAGATCCAGTCAGATGATCGACTTCTCATTCGCTGCTGATGCTCGCCTTTGTCCATGCGAGTCCAAAGTGTAATTTTGAATCTTTTATTGTACATGTTGTTGTGCAAAGTCCAAGGATTCTTGCTAGATTGTCCCAACTCAGTGAGGGCAAGGTTTCTAGAAGACCATCTTGTGAGGGAACTGCTTGGTGCTGAGTGAGAAGGCCATCTGAAGGTATCCCTTCATGTAGTCTACTCCCTTGATGAGGGTCAGGAGCTGGCCGTCGACGGACTTCTGGTCCTCCTTGCGCTCTTCCGAGACGGTATACTCCTAGGAAGGGATGCGAGAAAGAAATGGGACATTAGTCAAGTTTAGGTCAAGAACAATGATCATAATGGCTTTGGCAAAGCTCAACAAAGACAATTGCCCAGAACAAATGGGCATCAACAAAATCTACATGCAGAATCCCAATTTTCAAAATATCCACTTGTATAGGTCTCATGCATAAAACATTTCATGCGAGAAAATGATCCCAATTTTTGGCACAAATAGTTTGAAAATAATCTCTGAAGGCTGTGGCATTAATCATAAGGTAAAGAATAAACTTTGTAATATCCTAAGAAAAGGCAACAATTTGTTTTAATCTCCAGAAAATTTAATTATTTGGACAGCAATTAAATAAGTATACCGGGTAACTGCCTTTATTAATGGGATGGGTTAATTGAAGAAGTGAATTAAGTTGCCGTTTTAAAATCCATTTAACCCTTACTGTACTGGGCTATTTTGAGCACCCTCTGACTGGTGGGGGGGGGGGGGGGGGCCTGGGAGGCCCCCCCCCCCCCCCATTACAGTAATGGTTAAGTGACTCAGTAACATTGCCTCAGATTCTGAAACAAAATCCAGGATTAAGCTCATGATGCAATCATAATTATAAACCTTTACGTTAGTCAGGAATCCCATGACATTTACAAGCCGATCGCCTGTCTGATTATCAAGATATTTCTGATTGGAAATCAAAATTTCATTTTTCGTTTTCCTAACGGTTTTTATTAAACTACTTCTATTGGGGATAATGAGTATGGTAAAACCGGTCACTCAAAGATTTTTTACTTTTTTGAGGCACTTCATGATCATTTTGAAGCACAATTTTTTTAGGGCTTCAATATTACACCATATCACGAACAATGATACGCGTAGGGCCATGCATCTCAAACATTGTTAAATGATGCCTTTAATCTTGGGCTGAATATTTTGCATCCAACAATGGACTGCCAAGGCCCAAAATGTTTCACTCGTTCGTAAACTGAGAACTACGCACCTTCTTCTCAGATTCGAACATCTCTCCCTCCTGTCCACGGGGCTTCTTGAGCTTCATGCGCTTGAAGTAGAGGTCGTTCAACCTCTCGGGGACCTTGACAGAGCTGATGTCCAGCTTGGTCTGGGTAGCGATGACGTAAGTCTGGTTGATCCTGCGCAGAGGTACACCATTCAGGTCAAAGGGACCTGGTAAAACAAACAAAACAGAGAGAGATCATAAAATGGTCTGGATTCATTATCTCACAATACTTTGGTATAGAGAAGAAATGTTGCAAGACTAGGAGCAACCTAAAGGCTGTCAGGTAATAATAATAATGATAACAGGTTCTTGTATAGCGCTCGTATCTGTCAGACTTGACACTTCTGGCGTTCCACAATTAATACCCGGCTTTGCCTGCCATTAAGGCGCTCTAGCATTTCAAGGAGTTAATTCCTGCCAGGTACCCATTTATTTGGGTAGAGCGTGGCAAATGCAGATGAATGTCTTTCAAAAGGACATTAGTGCCGCGTTTGTATGCTACACTCTCTATTACCAAATACAGACTCAAATTGAAGTATTGACAAAAAAAATTCTAGTTTTGATCAATTTCACCCAGGTATAAAGGCAGGACACCAAAATCAATCACAAAAAAAGATTTGTCATTTACTATTGGATATTCAACAATTGCAGTTGACAAAAAAAGGAGTGAACACTCATCAAGTTTTACTTAGAACCAGAGGGGAACAAAACTTTCTGCTTGAAAGTTCTGTAAATTTGAATGGAAAGAACTTTACTTTGAGAGAACATGCTGACCTTATCATACCTTATAGGAGGTAAATAATTATGCACCTAACTTTCACAATACACCCCTTCACGGGTAAAGCCGCCATTTTAATTTACGAGTAAACATTGCGTCATCAATATTTTCAGACACGCATGTATTGTTGCGTCACTGCCTGTACTGCGTGCTCACATCATATCGACACATGCGTTTTGCATGCTGCATAAAATAAAAGTTACTCGCAATATTAAATCACAATTTGAAATGGCGCCCATGTTGGCGCATGTGCACTCTTGTAATCGTGAAAGGGTGTATTGTTCCGAATTATCAACCATTGTTTCGAATTATCAACCATTGTTTCAAATTTATCAACCATCGATTCCTTTTACCTGTGACAAGGAGGAGACCAGAATCGAGTTGCTTGACGAACACGACCCTCTTTCCCTTGTAGCGTCCAGCCAGGAGGATGAGGACGGTGCCGGGGGTGATAGATGGCCTCAGCTTGGACTTGTGCATGCTGAAGGGCTTCTTGCGGTTGTTCAACTTACGGGACAGATCCTCGGTAGGGTAGTAGCGGGGCTGCAAAATGGAAAAATTAAGGCATTAACTAGGGTTCTTCAATCGTGCTTATCTGGTTGTTTTGTTGCGAGATTAAATTACTCATTACATATTCCACCAATGTATACAAATAGACTGGTGAACTTAAAAGCATCAATAAAGCCTGCACGTCATTCTGTTTGGCTAATGACTTCTCCAAAATTGGGCACAGACTGTACCACCATTATTATGACTTCTGGTAATAAACTGTTCCTAAACCAATTCCTATTATCATTTTCATGCAGTAAATGCAGAGGATAAGCCTTTGATTTTAATTCTACACATAAGATACTTTACTAGCTCAAGCATTGAGGAAATTGCAATCAAACAGACATGTTTCAACCTTGCTTTACCTCCATCACCTATAGCATTAATCCTATTTTTTGCCCTCGTCTAGAGTAGACAATTAAATATACCAGAATACAAGGAGGGGGTACCACACTCACCAATCTCTTGACGCGGACTAGACGCTTGCCTCCGTTCTTCTCTCCACCGATCTGCTTCTCAACCATAGCAGGCTGCCTCTTCCTCTCCTTCTTCACAACAGTCTGTAAGAAATAGACAGGATTCATCAATGATTACATTCATGCTTCACTACTAGCAGTATCAACAAGCTTTTGCAATGTGCTTTTAATACTTTTTTTCAATTCTTAAAGGTACTGTAGATTAAATACCATCACCAATGATGATTTTAAGCAAACAAACAAATTATTGTGTACTGAACTCAAAGCAACAGCTGTCACAAAAAGGGAAGAAAATTTAGACAAATCTGGGGTATGGTGAAAAACATCTGCTGAATATTTCATCAAACAAATACATTTCACAGTTCAGATTTTTACTTCTCCACCGCCACTGACAACAAAACTTCATTGCAGTAGCTTTGGTCAACTTTAACTAAAGGAACTATGATCTCAATGAAAATATTTACCTTCTTCTTCTTGTACATAGCTGTCCTCTTGTACATCTGGGACCGGCTGTACCTTGGGATGCCGCCCGTCATCCATTTCTGGCGGGAAGTATGCCCCTTCTTTACTTTGTCGTCACCCATGCTACAGGTAAAAGAAAAGAAAAACAATGTTTTACTTAGTTTTATCGCTCACAACGTGAAAGTTTCTGTGCTGCGTATGTGATAAATAACATGAAGCATCATCCCGGGATCCGTTTTTCGCATCGCCAATGCGCGAATCGGAAAAAATGTGGACGGTCCTTATTTTTTAGGACGCTATTTGTCCGCGTTTGTGAAGATATCCTTGTTTATGTGGACGATCTTTATTCTTGGACCAGCGCCCCTACTGCCACTGGTGATTAAATTCACATCTGTTTTTAATTTTACACGGCTTTCCACAAACTTTTGCTTAGTCTTTACGATTTATAATATGAAATACAATATGATATTCAATATCGGCAAGCCTATTGATCGTGGTTGGAACTTGGAAACACAAGTTAATTACCTTCACCCTATGTGCGATAAACATCGATTTCGCATTGCCAATTTGATGCCGACTTTACAATTTAATAATGCGGGGAGTTCGCCGAATTCAGAAATACGCAAAGGCCAAGCACGCACCATAACTATTTCTGACCATGATCAACATCGCAACATTTTATTTATAGAATCTACACTGGGAAAGTTTTTGTCATGTATCCATCCATCCGGTCCACCATGAGCATTTCATTACATGGAATGGGAAATGCATTCGTGCGCATTGAGCAGTGCTAGGCAATGGACGTGGCCGAGCTGTGCATGCCCCGTGTGCAACCGGGTTCGTGCAAAAAAATTGTCCGGCGACAGACAGTGCAGTGTCAGTGAGACAATCGGCCTGCCACATTCCATGATTATAAAGGGAAAGAAAGAGATGTCTTATAACATGGTGTGAAATATATTTCAAGAGGTGTCTGATATTGCATGTAATTGTTACGAATGATAATTTCCAAGTTATCAATGGATAAGGTGTTCTGAGCATTGAGCAAACCTCCGATTGCTTCACACATAAAGTTAATACAGACAGATAAATACGGAGTCAGGAATACACACTTGGGATATCATTCATCTTTTTTTCATCGTTCAAACCACTTTGGTGAGAAAAAAATTAAGGTATATAAAGCTTAATAATCGTATAATATGAAAAAGGTCTCATTAAAAATAGATTGACTGACAAACTATGTAATTTAGAGAGATTCTGAACCTGTTTGTAGTCGGTATCTACTCACGTTAGTTAGGGATAGTTAAGAGGAAGTTCATGGGTTGATGGGATACATAATGTGTATTCTTAGTTCAAGACGCAAATATTGGCTAAAGTACTAGGTGCACACGTACCTCGGCAGGTACTAATCTTTCATTCCAGGGAATATTTATCAACTAAAAAAATATTTCGATTTTTGAAATTAATTTTCAGACTAAATCAGTTTTAGATTTAAATGTAAAACTAGGTTGTGACGAAGTCGTGATGAGGTCCGCCACTTACGTAATTTTAAAGAGAATATAGAATATCTCTGCAGTTTTTCATAAAAGAGGTACATATAAAACGATGAGAAAGAGACTTTCTCCTGCCTAGGCTATATGTATCTTGTCCATGGATTTGATTTCAAGAGATAAGTGCCGGATGGGGCATGGGCGTCAATCCGAGGGGGGTCGATCCTCCCCCGCGATTTTTCCTATAGGGCGCGGGGGGGGGGGGGGGGGGGACATCATCATTATCAAATGTCCCCCCATGTTTTGTCAGAAGAGAAGAGGGACTACCAGGAACAACGATTTTGTATACATTGCCAAGGAGATAAATTCACTTAAATTATTTTAAAAAATAGTGCTCTTACCCCCCCCCCCCCCCCCCCATCATTATTTTGGCAGATGGTTAGACGAAAGAAATTAATTATGTAGACTTGAACAGATCATAAAAATGACGTCATAACAACATAATGCATATTCATAGAATTCCCACGGTGTGCTAAAAAATCTGCACAGCTTCGTTAACTTTTGATATTTTACTAACTTTATCCAAAATGGAAGAATTATCCTGGACCAATGTGCATTCCCAGGATATTCAAATCGAAGCTGAGTCGTTCTGGAGAGCAATTGACATTTGGTGGCTGAAACCACAGGTTATTAATCGTCGAATCTCGGCATCAGTAGAGCAGCACAAAATCAGCGGACTCTCAGAAAGCACTGCGGCCGGATCTCTGGCGGAGCTGTCACGAGTAACGCCTGCTGTTCGGCTTCACGAGCAATGGCTTTTTAGTCTGTTGAACGATCTGAAGCATCTCACTTCCCAAGAAGAAAACACAACTTCGATTTCTTTTGAAAAATGTATAGATCATCATGTCTCTCTTCTCGAGGAGTCTAAGAATGAGACTATGTCAAATAACCAAGTTTCAAAATGTGAATCAGGCAGTGTCGGTGAAGAAAAAGTTACAGAACAAGTGGCTGAAATCGTCACAGACAATCACACAGGAGAAATGGAAAATGAAGAATCATTGTTACTAGATAAAAGCAAGATGTGTGTGATTTGCATTAGGAAGCTGTTGCCAAGAAGGGCCTCAGATGCTGTTGTCCATGAAGTAGGGATATTTGGTATGTTGATCGAGGAATATAATTTTTCATGCAAAAATAACTTTCTTACTGTAATCAATAATCTATCTAGACTCTAATATTATTAGAGTCTAGCCTAGGCCTAGATCTATGATATTTAGTCAATAAGATTAATAAGACTAGAGGTTGCTACTGAGCTAGTACTGGTAATTTATTTATTTGTGGCCAACTTCAACTAAATATTCAGGTATAGTCTAGAGTCTAGTCTACTTTTGATTCATCAGATATAAATTATTTTATTTTATAAGATGTGACCCAAAATTATGCATTTTCGATGTAAAAGGACAAATAGATCTGTGGTTAAGACTGAAGACTGAAGTAAAGTTGCAGTATGAAGTGTGTAATTGTGGAAGTTCGCAACAATTTGCTTTACAAATTGACTATTCTTACATGATTTAGGTCTTCATGTACCTCATCATATTTTTGTTCCATATCATCACCAGTCATTTGGACCCCAAGTAATGCGGGTTTATTGTTGCCAATCCCATCAATGTTGACTAAAGATAGTTAGTGATCAAGTCTCTAGAATGAACTATGGTCATTTTCATTTCCCTGTGAGCCTGAAATGGATGGTAACCGTCTATTTTCTTATCCTTCCTTTTCTTTTTGTTTTCTTCTTTAGATCATGAGAGAAATGAAGCAACCTTTACTTTGCTTGAATGTGGCAGCAAAGAAGCCAAATTCCCATCCTACAAATTTTCCTTCCAGTGCAGTAGGTAACAGATACCACTTTAAAATTTAAAAGGCTTTTGTGGCTTAATTGAATTCTACACACAGGGAATTGCAGAAAAAGCATTTAAGGATGTTCATGCACTCTGTAGCTGCGCAGGACCAGCTGATCTAAGGTGCATACAAGTGTCTCAGATGACATTGTCTCACGCTCTGTTTTTGTTGAGAACCTTACAGATTTATAGAGCATCAAATGTACAGTCTATACAAAACCAATGAAGTAGCAAATTAATAGAAACAGTGCAGGAAGTTGAATCTGAAGATGATTTCATATATGTACCCAATAGAACAAGGTGCAACAAAAACAATGCTTGTACTATCTTAAAGTGAAGTAAAATTTATTCTTAGTTTCTTGCCTGCATAATAAGCTTCCTATTTTCCTTCCTTTTTTAAAATAAAGAACAGCAATCTTGATAAGGGAGTACCAATAATAATTTGAATGTGTGTAATGGGCTAAAAGTATACCGATAAGGACTGAGATAGATTTGTGTTGTATCATGGTTTTTGTTTGTGTTTTTATTTTGTTTTTCTTATAGAATATCTCTCCATGTTGATGACAACTACAAATCTGCTCCATATTCCTCATCTATACCCTCCATTGAATGGCTAGGAAATACTCTTGCCCCCAAACTCACCAAATGGGCAAGTGAGATCGTAGGATCCGGTCAGGTTGTGGTGGTGAAACCTTTGGTACCGATGGACAGGTATACTGAACTCTACAGGGAGATGAAACAGAAGTATGGCACTGAGTTTGTCAAGGTAAGGACAAAAACTGTTGGCTAAATTCACAAACAGGCTCATAGACTATCATATCAGGTTGCAGGATTCCACACTAAACATTGTCATATACTGGTACTGTAGCCTGATTTTCTTTTCTTTTAGGGATGTGTTCATTGAGCCCATATTTAAATTTTTACGAAAAAAATGAAAGGTTCATTTCATTTAAAACATTTGCTAGAAATTTATGTACTATTATGATTTATCATGTTCTGGATGCAACATCATCTTAGATACATCTGTACTTTTAAAATATTGCTACAAAGCATATTAGATATTGCTACCCTCTAGAAGTTTACATTTTACCCAAAATGTTTCTTTTTCTTCCTGTTTCTTTGAAAATATCTAGTGTTTGTGTTTTCTCTGCTTACTCTGCTTTATACTATACTTTTCTCACTCTCTTTATCTTTCACTCACATACACACTCTCTGTCTCTATCTCCCCCTTTTTCTCTCTCTTTCTCTCTCTCTCTATCTCTCTCTCTCATTCTCTGTGATTCTCTGTGTCTTTTTATTCTATTTTTCTTCTTACGCTATATCTCTCTATTCCACCTCTTAATTGAAATCCATCTCCTGTCAACACACACACACACTTGTACACATCATGCATAATCTGTTTTTTTTTTCTATGTACAGTAAACCTAACTAAATTGGCCGTTATTATGTGATACATTCAGCATGCAAATGTCAAGTGATTGTTCGGTCAAACCTCTGTCTTGAAGTCTTCACCAGGCATAAGACATGCCATAGTGTTTAGTGTATTTCCTCACTAAACTCTGACAGGTGCAATTAGTGTGCAGGACATCTTAGTCTCAATGATATTGACAATACATTCTTATACATTTTTTTTTTTTAAAGATTTGGCCAGAGAATACAGACCCTCAAAAGTTTGTGTATGAGGATGTTGCCATAGCAACTTACTTGATCCTTCTCTTTGAAGAGGAGAGAAAGGAGACTGGTGATGACAAGAAGCAGTCCTACGTCGACCTAGGATGTGGGAATGGTCTTCTGGTGCACATACTGAACAGTGAGGGGGTAAGTCATATTTTGATTTAATGAACTAACAGCTCGTTTAGTCCAGTGTTCAATGTGAATAATATTCATGAAAATATCTGTATATGAAATATTCAGGTTTTGAAGCACCTCATACAAAAATGTATGATATTATTTCAATGAAATGTTTGGTAACCAAGAGAACTTGGTCATTTCACTCAGACGTCTAATCTTGAATTTGTTTGACAGTACCCAGGCAAAGGCATTGACCTGCGAAGGCGGAAGATCTGGAGTCTCTACGGCCCTGAAACCCACCTTGAGGAAAGCACCATCATCGCTTCCATGGAAACGTCTTTCAAGGACACTGATTGGTTGATTGGTAATCACTCTGATGAGCTCACTCCCTGGATCCCTGTCATGGCAGCCAGGTAATCAAATTGACGCCTCTTTGGCTCTTCGACTCTCAGCATTAGCAAAAAAAAGACGTACAGTACATATGCGTTAGATTATTCTTAGTGTTATCATTAGGCAATCTATTCTTAGTCAATTGACCTCCTTTTGACTGACTTCTAGCAAGATTCTTGGTATATATATATATATATATATATATATATATGGGGTACAGTTGGTGCTACATATACATGTATATTTGGGCGATTCTGTGCGATTTGTCCCGTACGATATATATCCATATATTTCACCCATGAATGAAAAATCTGTTGATATGACCAAGTCTAATGGTAGTAATACCAGAAAGCACTATTATTCAATGTTCACATCAAAAGATTCTACTGAAACGCCCATTTACAGAATGGAGTCCCATCTATGATCTTATGTGAAGAGAATTGTTGATAAGGCAACATTCTAGTAAACAGAATTAGAGTTTCTCTCTCTCTCTCTCTCTCTCTCTTGTGATCCAGGTCATCGTACAAGACGCGTTACTTTGTTCTCCCATGCTGCTTCCATGACTTTGATAGTAAGTTCGGTCAGAGGGTGGGGGGTGAGACCCAGTATCGCACCTACCTCAACTTTGTCCGAGAAGCAGGAGAGATGTGTGGCTTTGAGGTTGAAGAGGATAAGATGAGAATACCTTCAACCAAAAAGGTAACATTCTTTCCTCTTTTTGCCTGTATTATTGTATCCCCCAGGGGTTCAGCAGCGTTACGCCGCCGCGTCATATTCTTAAGTGCACTCCAACTGCCTTCTTTCAAATTTTGTATGGAGGTGTATCTTGGTATAATCTACACACCTATAATTTATGGGGATGCTGCCCCCAGTGTTCCGTCTTCTATAGGGTAAAAGGCCATATGGTTTGTGTGCGCTCTATAGGCCACATTTTGAACGAAGTTGTATCTTGTTTTGAAATGAGAATCTTATTTAAGTTTGTACATTATATGATTAGTGATGGGTATAACTTAATGTTCTGTATTAGAAGTTTGTGTGATTTTTGTGAGGCAGCATTTGTTCCAGGGCCCTGTTTCATAAAACTTGTTATTAGTCACAAGTTACAATAACTGTTCAAAGCTACTGAAATCATGGCTTTTGATTGACTGAGAGCAAATTTGTCATAGAAATAAAGCTTTTTGCTATTGATAACAAGTTTTATGAAACAGGCCTCAGGAACATTTGCTCTGAGGTTTAGTTCATCAAAGATATAGGTACAGGGTTAGGATGAAAATTAGGGTTTAAGGTTAGGTTTAAGGTTTGGTTAGGGTTAGGTTTTGGGTTTGGTCCAGGGTTGAAGTTGAGAATTCAGTTAGTGTAGGAGTTGACCACAGGGCATGTGTCATGGAACCAGGCTTTTTATGTGTCTCTCAGATATCATTAGGTGGTGATCTGACGTTAACTCTGGCATTTTGCACCTGTAGTCTTCAATCATCTGTAGCAAAGCCCTTCACGTACATGTAGGTTGAAAGCTTTCCAGAAAGTGTGCATTTGGTTCCATAGCATTCCATAATCGATATCCTCTTGTATTTTTCGTGAACAGATCTGCCACGTTGGCAGGAGAAAGACCTATGCTGCAGAAGAACATCCACAAGTCTTGGCAAGAATGGAGGAGTATGTTGCTTGTCGATGCAGGAAATCAGCGTGCCATAAAAGAAAATCCCACCTTATCGATTCAGTCCGGGACTCTGAATCCAGTAGAATTTGTCCTGTTTCATCGCTTGAGACAGGAATTGGTGCTGACTCAGCAGAGAGTACAGCATGTGACTGTAAGGATACAGAATGCACTCACAAGAGAGAATTGACCAGCTCTGACAGCAGCTCAACTGAAGGACAGTGCCTGGGAGGGGAGGGGGACACCGACAAGAACTTGGCGCCCAACTTCAAGCCACGAGCGGTGGAGGAGAGAGTGAAGAACTGCTCCAGAGTTGAGAGGTCATTGAAAGATCGCATCACTTTGGAGGTTGCCTGGGCGATACTGGAGGATGGTGGGGTGAGGAGGACGAGCAAGGATGGAGATGAAGTTCAAGGAGGTGGTGGCGTCCAGGATGACACTGGGAGGAGCTCAAAGATGCCTAAACTGTGGAGACGAGGAGGTGATAACTTGTTTAATTTCATTGATGGTTCTTGTAGTGTTGATGAAATAAATGTATGTATTTATATTGAGGTAGTTGCTCCCCTGACTTACTTCCAGATTGCAGAATATTAATAGATGTGAAATACTTCATCCCCAAATATAAGGATTATGTGCATCCTGTATAGAATAGTAAAGTCCTGAAATGTATCCTTTATTATCCTGGCAGAAAGTTTGATGATCACGAAAACATGCTGCTAACTGAGAAATGCTATGTACTTGTATTTCAAATGATTTTCATCAATCTCCCTGCGATATTGGGTGGTTATAAAAGAATGAAATCCCCCCCCCCCCCCCCACCCCCTCCCAATCAAGCAAAACATTTCTTTTTCAGATGGTGCATGTTCATGCTTCTTTTTTATCTATATGCTTATGGTTTGAAGCTTGCTCTTTGTTTTTTAAACTTGAAGGTTCTATAGGTCTGGGTGATGCTGCGAAGCTCTTTGATGGCCCTACCCTCAAGAACTTAAAGAGCGAGTGCGGAGGACTCAAAACCCTGCTCAAGAACTACAATCCAGTATTTGAGAGTGAGTACCGATATTATTAATCAGATTGCAGTCATGTTGAAAGTGTATACCGGTACCTAGATTGTGTAAAATCAACCTCCTAAAAAATCTTTACCTCACATTCTACAGGGCGTATCAATAAGAAGTTTACCCAACTTTGGTAGCTCCTAATTGTAAAGTCATAACCAACGTGACTTTGCAATCACTACATGATGAAGAGTAACTTATTTTCTGTCCAATGATGCCCTATTCATAATAAATTCTGCCACGGGTGAATCAGCACCAGGGTCTTTCAAAAGTATTGTCAAGGTAGCCTTGTTCCAAGTTTAGGCTTTAGGGACCAATGTAGGTCATGCCATATGCATGCATTTGTTTGGTTTTTTGTTCACACTATATGGCCCGAATATGGCCCGAATTCACAAAGGAGGTTTAAATTTAACCCATGGTCTAAAATTAGGGCAAAACTAGTGCAACACAGTCAGAGGTGTAATATTAGACGCGCGCAAGGCAAAGTACGCTTATTTTGCGCTAATTTTTAAACCATGGGTTATATAAATGAAGGTTTAAACCATGGGTTAAGTTAAACCTCCTTTGTGAATTTGGGCCATTAAGAAACTCGGGTTTGGCTTCTATGTGTCATGACATGAGCTATCGCATTAATGACTGATGCTTAATGAATCAGTTTGTACCATCCTTTCCTCCCATCTCTTACCTGTCTAGTTATTAAGAGCAAGGTCTCCCTGAAGGACTGGTCTCAGTTACCTTCATCTGATGCAACGGACCCGGTATCATCCAGCGGCAGTTCATCCAGAACAGCATCGCGGCAGTCAGAGAAGAAAGACAGAGAGAGACAGCAGCTCTACAAGACCAAGCTGTGCTGGTTTCACGAGCACCATCCAGACAGCTGCCCAAGAATGGCAGAAGCCTGTCCGTTTGCCCATGGACAAGTGGAGCTCAGAAGCAGGCCAACGTTTGGAAAAGCCCCTGTGATATAAGAAACTATTTCTGCAAGAGGACAAATTACAACAATATACATGATGTGCAGTTAACAACTAGATTTTTCATACCCCTTGTAAATTTGATGTTTGTTGTTGTTGTGTTTTTCTTAACTCCAGATCAAAAGGTGGACTGGTTAAATGTGGGCTTTTGTTGAATACATTTAGATGTAAGTTTTAATATGTCACATTCTCATGAAACATAAATTGGGACAACCAATTTTTTTTTAATTGCAAAAATTATTAAGGATATAAATAATTTATTTGTTAACTGTATATTGTTAGAAGACATAAAATTGTCTCCAAAAACAATTGAGATATATTCAAAAGTTTAATGATTAAAATGCATAAAGGAGGGGGGGGGGTGATTTTATATCTAAGGCCAGTACAGAAGTAAACTTGGAGAAGACTTCATTAGCCCAAATTTTATGTGATGCACTGACTAGTCTAGTCACTAATTGTATTTACATTTTAACAAGTGTGCAATCTCTGTATCAACTTGCCATGTTTCTTTCCAGACTAGCTATGTCTAAAGCTCATATTTCAATTATGCCATTATTTGACATACCTGTAAAAGCGTAAAACTCTAAAACACACAGTGCAAAAGGTTATTGGTGGTTGGTCCCTTTAAGAAGGCCAAAGTCAAATATCATGCTTAGGTTTTGAGTTGGTTGTCACCACTTCACAAACTAGTAAAAGCATACCTTGTTTATTTGTAAGATGATTGGAAAATTGCAGCATACAGGCCACATGAGTTCTACACACACTTATTGTTTCTCAGACTATCATTCAAAACAAAGAAAAATATTTGTTGAACTGATTTGATCATGCTTTGTTGTATTAATTTTAGTTTTTATAGAAGACATAGATCTTGAAATTGTAATGTTTTAAAGACACATATAAGTGGGCTTTCATGGGGAAATTTTATGATCAACAAGCTTTATGTATTAAATACTCAGTGTTTTCCCCACATAGTTAAGTCCTTATCTGACATTTGCACCACCATAAGACTCTCTGAAACACAAGGGGGTATTTCTTGTTTGGCCTACAGGTTTGGTGTGTGCAGACTTGTACACCCATGAAATGGTATTTCCACCAAGACTGGTGTCGGTGAATTATGACCTACACATGGAAACTGACGATCCCCTTCACTTTTAAACATTGATTTAGTATTTATGTCAAAACTTGTGCTGCAGATGAAAACATGGAAGAATGTTTTGTGACTTCCCTCAATTCTTTTGCTTGATCTGTCTTCCACTTGTACATGTATGTTATACTTCAGTTTTTAAACAAAAAGTATGAATGATGTTTCCATACACAGAGATTTCCTACTATTAAAAGGAACTGCTACTTGTAATACTTGATCTAGTCTTGATGTTGTTGATGTGTCATTTTCTTGCTTTATTTACACTAATTGACGAGATATAACTACATATGGATGCATACCTGCCAACCTTTCACAGGAATCTCTGTTAATAGCCCAAATTAGAATTACGCGATATATGCTTAGAGATGATATCAGAAAACGAGGAATATATTAAAGGTTCATAAAGGTAGTTTCAAGGCGGGAAAATGGGAATCATTCCTCTCAAATAGGAATGGTTGGCAGATATGTGAATGTCCAAAAGATATGCTTGTCCAGCTGATATTAATACTACTTGTATTTACCCCAATTCCACCTTTTTTTCCCCCCTTTCATTTGTATGCAATGTGTCAGAAGTTGGATGAAAGCACATTTGTTCTGCTTTAGAGCTCTTGCATAAGAAGTTTGTCTAAACACAACTGAGAAGATTAAACACAACTTTAAAAATTAAATGCAACATAAAATTTGATGCATGCACGCAAGAGCATGTTGATATGATATGATTTGTGAAAGAAAATGTGAACTTATGGAACTTTTTTCAATTACAGATCATAAAAATCTTCAGGAAATAACATATACATGCAGTAATGTAGACTACAAGAGCACAAAAACACTTCTGAACATGGCCCAAGAGACATGCTACTCTTCCCCCACCCTCTCCTCCCCTTCCTATCTCCACAAATGTTGACAATAAATGATCAGAGGTTCTGAAAGGAATATCAATAGACCATTTTCTTAGTGAAATAAAATAAAATAATGCATATATCTTTTTGAAGTGCCTCAATACAAATATTTCATTCACCTGTAATGAATAATTGTATTTCAATAGTCGGAATACAAAATGCATATTACGTGTAGTCAGGAAGGTAAAGCCATAATGCTTGTCGTACCTAGCAACAATTTATGTATGCAAATTGCATTCTGACTATTGAAATACAACTATATGTCACAAGTGAATGAAATAATTTGTGACAAGATTTATGAATTGAATTTGATTACATTACGAAAACTGTTAATCAAATCTAAACCTCAAATTCAAGTACGTTCACAAAGACAAAAGAAAAGGCAAACTTTCTTCAGTTATGAAGTAAATAGACATATTTTAATCGTTCATTTCTACAAAATGCAATGAACAAACCTTGTTAGGAGCTTATTCAAAGAGTATTGGCTAAACATTTGCAACGTTAAAAACAAAACAAAATTAATCAATAATTACCACTTTCTGCGCATTTGTGGTATTTTTTTTTTTTGGGGGGGGGGGGGATTCCAGTTTCTACACCAACATATATCGACATAAATGGAGTTTCTATTCCATTCGTTGTAAGAAAAGCAATCCTACATGTTTTTTTTAAAGCATCGGCCAAAACAAATAATTCAGGGGGGATTATAGTTCACCTATTGCTTGGTCATGCTTTGCTTAGGTTAGTTACAAATTTGCAGCATTGGCAAATACTCGATACTTGATACAGTGAGCAAAAAGGTTTCTAATAATATTTTTCATTCCACCTAGAATAGTAGATTCTCTACAGAAAAGAAAATCATATCAGCCATATGTGGTGGGATTTTTTTTCTAAAGAGTAAACAAATAGAGTACCGAAGCTGTGACGTCATAAAAATCTATTTTTAGAATTTCTCAATTTTTTCTTCATATTCCGAAAGAACATGAAAAATAATGTCCAAATTTCGAAAATCAATTGAATATGTTAAGTATTGGCTGAGATATGACCATCTGAATAAATATACTCCCCATAGGAACTCAGTGTTATATGCTCTGGCTCCTAATGGTTAGGAGCCAGAGCATATAACACTGAGTTCCCATAGGACATATATTCATTCAGATGGTCATGTCTCAGCCAGTACTTGACATATTCAATTGGTTCTCGACATTTGGACATTATTTTTCATGTTCTTTCGGAATATTAAGAAAAAAATTGAGAAATTCTAAAAATAGATTTTTGATGACGTCACACTTCACCACTCTATAACTACATAAATAAATAGTATACACAAAGATATGTTTCAAAACAATAAAAAATTACTAATTACATTAAAAAGCATATACATTGTACATATAAGTGTTACTTTACAAAAAATATCACTTGTACAAAGAAGACATGATATTTCCTTCAATGTTATCTACCACTACATGTTAGTCGTTAAATAACATACACCGATGAATATAAAAAGTTGTACAAAGATGGTATGATAGAATGATACAAGGCAACTTAAATAGTGCAAATGGGGCTTGCATACAGCGGAAAACCACACACCAGTATATCATGGCTATATCAACAGAATACAGACGTTACGATCAGATTGCCTCTATTGTCAGAGCTTCCCCTCACCATGCAGCGATTAAGAGTATGGCTTGGAAATGGTGCCATCAATGTCTTTGTTCCAAATGCTTTGAAATATATTCCATATAAATGTACCATATGATCGACGTGCTGGCCCGAAGAGTAGATTTATGTCTCTCATTGACTAGGGCAGGAAGACTTTGGTGCTTTTAAAAAGTGTCATTTCAAGCAGGAATTGTAAAAAAATTGGTCCCCAGGTTCTAAATGCCTCTGGCTATGATTTTGATCGTCTGCTCAGGGCCTTGTTTCATAAAACTTGATATCAATCACAAGTCAAAATTACTGTTATAAGCTACTAGAATCGTGGCATTTGATTGGCTGTGAGCAAATTTGCCATAGAAATTCAGCATTTGTTCTGGATAACAAGTTCCGTGAAACAGGGCCCGTAACCAGAAGGGCATGCACTCGTATTAATGTATCGGTTATGTTCTTCTGTTCCTTGGTAGAAGTCATCTTGGTTCAATCATCCTGTATTTGTAGCAATGGCACTACCTACACGTATAGATCATTTCTAAAGGGTAAAGGTCAAAGGTCATTACTTGTGCCATTGCCTACATCTACATACTATATTTTCAATTCATATTGCATAGTTTGCGAACTAGTAAATATTCCAAAACATAAAGCCACTCTAATTCCTTTACAAAGCACGATTCCTATTTATAAATGATTAAAAAAATTCTGCATACCATAAATCACTTCGGTTCTTTTTTACTCCTTCATTAAACTTTCCACTTAAATATGATTCTTACAATATTTCATTAGCTTGAAAAACAATATCTGATTGTAGAATAAGCATAAATCTACACACGTTATGTTATCAACAGCTATAATTTCATGATTAAATAATTATCAACAGGGGTCAAATGAGTTTGATTAATATCAGATAACTTGATAAGGTAATGCTGCATCGTTTGACCCAACAAACAATAGAAAATGCTGAGATTACTGACCCGATTCTAACTGTTAACTTTACACCTGTAATAGTGAAATGTTTTCCATCTGTATTTCATCATCAAACTAAAATGTGTTTTTTCTGTACTAACAACCCTGCAAACCCTCTGATGATTAAAATTGGATTAAAACTACATCGTTTGGCCCGACAAACAATAGAAAATGCTGAGATTACTGACCCAATTCTAACTGTTAACTTTCCACCTGTAACAGTGAAATGTTTTCTGTCTGTATTTCATCATCAAACTAAAATGTGTTTTTTCTGTACTAACAACCCTGCAAACCCTCTGATGATTAAAATTGGATTAAAACTGCATCGTTTGGCCCAACAAACAATAGAAAATGCTGAGATTACTGACCCAATTCTAACTGTTAACTTTCCACCTGTAACAGTGAAATGTTTTCTGTCTGTATTTCATCATCAAACTAAAATGTGTTTTTTCTGTACTAACAACCCTGCAAACCCTCTGATGATTAAAATTGGATTAAAACTGCATCGTTTGGCCCAACAAACAATAGAAAATGCTGAGATTACTGACCCAATTCTAACTGTTAACTTTACACCTGTAACAGTGAAATGTTTTCCGTCTGTATTTCATCATCAAACTAAAATGTGTTTTTTCTGTACTAACAACCTTGCAAACCCTCAGATGATTTAAATTGGAGAGTGAAACCTCATAATGAGAAGGTTCTTAAAAGCTTTGCCTAATCCCAAGTGCACTTCGTTCTCAGCAGATTGACTTTAATTGCCGTCGTACTATCAACTATCACAGTGAAAACTTGTTATAAAGAGCACTGAAAACATACTCCCATTGGCTATTCCAGCTCTAGGACTTTAGCTACTGTAGAAGTTATTATGGTAATGTTATTATCTATTATTATTATAATGATTATGGAAATAAGCTAGCACATTCCTTCTTTCCAAGAGACTGGTGATCTCGACAAGTAGGCGACAACGGAGGTAACAGAACATGGTACAGGGTCTAGTAACAAGTGGTGGTCCCAAAAGCTGTCCAGCAGTGGATGATTCCATAATACTGAAAGAGAAGTTTAAAAATAATATGGATGTTAATAACAATATATAAACAGTTTATGTGTATCAAATTCACCATTTTGAATTGATATTTATTTAATATTGAATGGCCTTTAGTAGGGGTACAGGGGTACATCCCCATTGTGAAGGACATTTTAAGCAATATTGAACTCTTAAATATAAGAAATCTGATATATTTATTCCTGAATGCTCATTCCAATCCTGGTGGCATGGGGGTTAAAGATAAAGTTGAGTTCTGGTCATGCGATTGCTTTGTGAAACAAACGTGGAATCGATCAGAAAAGGTTGATCACCTAGCATATAAGTATTGGTGAGTAATGCAAGGTAAATTTGGCCAAGTCTTGGTAAAGTTACAATCAGAAAGATGTATATGGGACTACACAAAACATGTGGCATAAAAATCTGTCCCGATTTTGTATGATGTTACATGCCATATTTAGAATATTAAGGCATTTGAAGAGCAGGGAACATTTTTTATCTGATGTTCTTCCACACTTGCATAACACAATGATAACGCTGACTAATTAATTTTCACCTCTTCCCAGAACTCAACCTTCTCTTTAATGTTATCCTTACCAATTACCATGATTGTTGGTTCTTCTCTCCGTCTCCTCCTCTAAACCTCCTCAGAGTGAAGACCACCCGTCTGAGCTTGTTGCTGCATCTGCTTCTGCATCTGTGCTAGCATCTCCTGCATGCGACGTAGCTACAGCACAAAACAAATACAATGGCACGTGTCATTAATAAGCAAAATGCGAGAATAACATCAAACATCCAAAGATAAATATATGTTGCTAAAACAGGGGGTAAAACTTGGAAGCCTCATGAAATATTCATGATATTTCTTGCATTTTCTTGCACCTTCCCTTCTTCGCCACTTTTTAAATACTTCTTGGATCAATGAAGTTTTTCCAATTCTTCATCTCATCTATTTCAATTACTCTTCTCATAGCTAACCCTCCCCTCCTCCCCCCCCCCTAAAAAAAAGGAGGAGCTCGTAGATATCACTCTCTTGAAATCTTGAGAGGTTATATGCAAATCTGTGTGTGCATCACTTATCTGTGAGGTAACTTACTATCAATCAAGACAAGTTAAATAGTTGATATCTCCAAGGGGGGGGGGGGGGGGGGGTGTTTCACAAAGACTAAAATCAACTTTGGGTTGGACTTAACTATGGCAGGCTATTCATGCCACTGGTTACTCTCACCATTGGTCTCTCAATTATGATCATTAGATAATACTTTTTCCTCCAATAATGAACTATCAAAAATGGTAAATTCTGTAGATTTGTGACCACAATTTGTACGTTCCTTTAGAAACCAATGCCAGGAATGGTTAGAGGAACTAGTGGCATGAATGGCCTTCCAAAGTTAAGTCCAATTCAAAGTCGATCTTAGTCTTTGTGAAACTTTGGGTTGGGTTCGAAACCAAGACGATGCGCTAGTGCCCTTTGGTAAGGCATTAATCCTCATTACCAGGTCCCTCGTAGAGGACCTAAAGCCGTTGGCAGTCTGGTTGCTTACTTACAAGCATTTATGCTTTCTTAGCAGTCAGGTAAAATAACCACCGCCATTCATTCATTATTATTATAAACACCCCCAGATCCAAGAGTTGTCAGACAAATATTATAGACAAATGTATGCAACAAGTTTTAAAAAACCAGATTGTCACACATACCTCTGAATCCTTCTCCAGCAGCATACGATCCTTCTCAGTCGAGGGTTCTTCCGAGGTAGACCCTGCTCTCCTCCTGTTCAATTTCACAATGAGAAAAAGAATTATTGTTATATCTGTTATAGGCAACTGTTGGAACTTGTATGTATCTTTTAATAACAGGGACTGCCTCGACAGAACCTTTATTTGCAGTTTCCCCAACATTTTTATATTGATAAACTTTGTATAATTCCAGTAGATCTGTAGACATTTTTGCATTTTGTGGGTGTCTTCCGTTTTTTATAGTGTATATAATCTGTATTTTATACATTCATTTAAAAAAATTGTTTATGGATTTTAATTGAAATGAAACTTGAGCATTACGTGCAAGCTGTTTTATATGCAGTAGTGTACACTGTATCTTTAACAAACAGATATTTTTTGGTTGTTGTGACTTAGGACCAAGCTGATTATTTAAGAGTAATTATAAATGCACAATCGACTATATCCAACAAATAGCCTATACACATGATCATCAATTGAGGGGTATTATGACTAGATTAAATTAGCATTTGCAAAATGTGAAACGCAGTGAAAATTACAATGTCATCTGACCCCAAATCTTCTTCTTCATCCCAACCCCCCAACCCCCCCCCCCCCCTATTTAAAAGGGAAGTCTACCCTGATTTTTTTTGGGGGGGGAGTTGCATCCAATCAAACACAAATTTGCAACACTGTGATTTATCTTGCGAGCGCCTCTCCAATTCACTCTGGACATAAAATTTCTGTTTTAAGTACGCTGGGAAGCCATGACTTACGAAGTTGGTTTCTTGGCACCACTGCTCCCTGTCTTGGCTAGTTTCTCAGACCTGAATGCTTCATAGTGTACCTCATGGGTCACGTCCTTCAGATCCTCCATGTATGCTCTGTGTGCAGGTCAACAACAAATCAGCGTTAAAGGCATCGTTTAACAATGTTAAATCTGAGATGCATGGCCCTACCTGATATCAGTGTCTGTGACATGGAGTAATATTGAAGCCCTAAAAAATTGCCCGTCGAAATGGTCATGAAGTGCCTCAAAAAGTAGAAATCTTTCAGTGACCGGTTTTACCATACTCATTTTCCCCAATAGATTGTAGTGTTTTGTCAAATATTCAAATTACAGTGAAAATTGAGCTGAGTCTATTGGTGTTACTCCTACGGCAAATATGAATAATATGGTTTCCCATAACACTTTCCATTTTCATACAACTGTTTTGTATTGGACAGGATGTGGGTAGCTGTATAACATCTCTTTAAATTATCAATGTCTACTTTCAATGCACATCTAATTTACAACATACAATGATTTAGCTTAGACTGGAATCAGAGTCAGAAATGACACATATATAATATATATATATATATATATATATATATATAAAACTTGCAACAACAACAAAAATACAGTGAACAAGAATACTTTCAGGCTCAGTCTAAGAAAAGGGAGAACATGTAATAAAATGATTTGTCAATCAATATGATTTTGGTTTCCGTAAAAAAACAAAAAAAGGGTTAGAAGAGAGAGTACATGTAATAAAAAGATCTATTCCTCATCCATATGCTTTTGAGTTCTGTAAAAAAAAAAAAAGGTCCAAAAGAATTTGCTTCTCATATGATTTAACTTACATCAGCATACTCCTTAGCTTGATGAAGTCACAGTGGTCAGGGTTCTCAACTAAAGATGAAAAAGAACGAAAAGAAGAGGAAACCATTCACTATTGAAACAAAATGAAAGATTATAATCATTACAAGGCATCAGACAATCTACATGGAGGGCTGATGGCATTTTTGGAAGAAGGGATGGACGCCTGGTCAAAACTACGATACTTCAATGCAGAGTGTATCTGGATGGCTTAGACAGTGGACATGGTATCGAGAGTATCAAGGTGTCTTGTATAGAGAGATAGATGACGCGATTCTTGGCAAAGTATGGCAGACATGTTTTCATGAGCAGGCAGTCAGCTCATGGAAATTCAATGGAAAAGGCATATTCAACCTACCTTGGTATCTTATGTTTGATAATTTCACTTTTGTTCTCTTGTCATTGTCAAACAAAAACGATAACAGCAACAACAACAACAACAAAAATATCAAAAGATGAAACAACACATAGAACAATATATTTTTTTTTAAAGAGAAGGACAAGTTCGAGTTCAAGTTCAAGTTCGAATAAGGTTTTATTCATTACTTGTCAACAAGTCCGAAGACTAAAAATGCAAGTTTACATCAATATAAAAAGCATTCAAAAACATAAAGATAAGTAGACAAGTAGACAACCCTTACAATGTTTGTTTTTATTTCAACATTTAGTCAGTATTCCAAAATTTCCAATATCATAATATGGTAGCTTCACACTTTCAATTATCAGTGTCATGTAGAGAATTAACAAAATTGTGCATTGGTAAGTAAAAGTCAAGGTCCTTACCTTCAACTACGCCCCATGGGTACAAACGCCCTCTGACCTTCCGCCCTTTGACCTCGATCAGCTGACTTGATCCACAGACAGCAAATGGCACACTAGCCTGGGGAGGAAAGATGTCATATCGTCATTAATAGAGCAAGAGAAGTGTAGGTATAGACTTAAACATAAAGTCAAGTTTTGGTCATGCGATTGCATTGTAAAAGAATTAAAGAAACGGTGTGGAATCGATCAGAAGAAGTGTAGCATATTCATTGGTGTGTACCGCAAGGTTCTGGAATCATCAAAATGATAGCAAATTTGGCCCAATCTAGCTAAAGTAACAAGCACTGTACACAGAAAGATGTACATGGAACTACACAAACATGTGGCGTAAAAACGAGGTCCACATTTTTAAGCTGTTACATCACATGTCATATTTAGAATATGAAGGTAATTGAAGAGCCATAGTGTTCAGGGAACATTTCTTCTCTGATGTTCTTCCACACTTTTAAAAAGCTTATTCGGGACCAAAAAAGTTCACAAACTGAACATTTAATACTGCACACAACTTCATCAGACAAAAAGGCAATTTCTACATGCAGATCAGTTTGGTACAACATTTTTAAGGGGGGAGGGGGTACATATAATGAAAGAAACAATGCCTACCTTGAGTTGTTTGTTGTGTTCTTTGAAGTCCTCATCTTCATCAGAATCTGAGTCTGGCATGTGATAGATCTTAATACCATTGTCATGGATCTCATCAAGTACCTATGTTAAAACACATGGGATGAGACTTGCATTGAATAGGGAACCCAGTAATAATATGTACATGTACACTACGCTAGCCGTACATACTTGAGAGGTTTACAAGGTGATACAGCAGAAAGATGTAGCATACACAGCGTGGTGATCTTAAAGAAGAAGCCTCGCATTACGTAAGCAAGTCTTAGTAGATACGTGTATGAGTATTTTATTCACACATATGTGAGGTTAACCAACAAATAGTATAGTGGTCTTCAAAGAACAACAGATCTTCTTTTTTTCAAGATAAAATGGTAAGGTAAGCACGAAGTGATAATGGTGCTTACAAGGTGTCCACTCTTTGTGTTCACCTTGGCTCCTCCGTACTGTACCGAATCCATGTGCAGAAGGTCATAGTTCGCCGACACCATACTTGGTGGAAATATCATTAATGGGTGTACAAGTCTGCATACAGCAAACCGTAGTCCCATAACAAAATAACCCCCTAGTCTCTCAGAGAGTCTCTGGGTGAGGAAAACGTAAGATAAAGACTTGACCATGTGGGGGAATGGGTGGAAAATGCAGAGCATTACATAAGACCTGTTGGTCATAAAACTGAAGGGTAATCCTGGTGATTGACAACACCTGTTTATTGGGTTAACACCCGAATGTGTTGAAATTCCCCATGAGAGCCCACTACCATGCATCATTAAAGATAAGCTTGAGCTCTGGTAGTGATAGAAAATGATAAATGACATGTGTCAAATGATTTTGGTAGAAAATGTATAGGGGCTGAATAATGAGCATAGAAAGATTAAGAAATCAAGGTAAGTAGGCCGCAGACCATGACCTAAACATAGGTTACTACATGTGTGTGAAAATGAGAGTATTGGTTTTTTATGGATGAAGATATCCAGCAAGTTTTTATAAGTTTGTTTTTATGTTACTGGTTCTAACAATCGATCTACTGCAGGATGAACAATTCAGAATGAATTATAGACATGTTCTCTCGACATACGATATCCATACCAGAGCTTTAACACATCTCGCTCCAGATATGAGGGGCTCACCTTTCTTTTAAGCTTGTTGAGTTCTCTCTTAGTGAGTGTGTCAGACTTGGCTATGACAGGCACAATGTTGACCTTGCTATGTAGGGCTTGGATGAACTGAACATCAAGGGGTTTCAACCTGAAAATACAAAGATATACTTATTAATAATACTCCACGTTTATGTAGCGCTTGATACATCAACGATGTCTCTAAAGCGCTTTACAGATATAATATTACCCTGATTATCGGATTCAAGCTCGCCCGCACACACAATGTGTGCACATTCTCCACTCCCTGGGGAGCATTCCAGCTAGTCGACATTTTACAGACGCTCACAATGCTGAGCATATTACATTAACGTTCGCAAACTCGATGGAGGGTGACAAGTGTAGATTAACGTCGTGCCAAGGATGTTAGTGGCGGGCTGGCAATTGAACCCCGTACCTTGTGATCCACAGTCCGGCAACTTATCCACTAGACCACAACGCCTCTACTTAGAGAAAACAGTCTTAAGCCCAGATGGAGTTATTATTGATCATCTTCATGAATCCTCACAGCTAGCATACATTTTTCAATAAGCGGAAGTGAAATGAAATAAAAATATTGTTCTTGTTGTTTTCTTTGTCTTTTTTAAAGAGGTTGTTGTTTGTTTGTTTTGTTTATTTTTTCTTTAAACACGATAAATCAATTCTTCAATCATAAAAACTGCAAGGAGAACAAATGAGATACAAATGATGAATTCCAAAGAATCTCTTCTTTCTCTCTGCAGTCAACAATTTTAAGTGGACAGATGCGAATCTGGAATTCAAGTTTTCCAACAATCAAGATATGTAGCTCCAACTGATACACTTGGAAATACTGTGCCATCATTCTAGCAAAACAAAGTGTAGCAACTTTCTTCAATCCGAATACCAACATGACAGAACGATGGAGAAAATCAATCCATGTGTATGAAAAAAATGTATGATCTTCATTTTGACTCACCCATGTCCGGTAGGCGAAATGAAGTAGAAGCAGCAATGGACCCTGTTATCTACGATGTTTCTTCTGTTTAGACCGCTCTCATCGTTGAGGTAGCGTTCATACTGATCATCAATGTACTTCAGGATGGGATCGAAACTGCAAAAAGAGGAAGAGGGAAATACAGTTAAACCTGTAAAGAAAAACCTCTCAAGGGAAACATGAAAAGTGGTCTTTATATTAAAGGGACTTGGTAACATTGTTCAGATGAGAGATAGTGGTGCTAAGGTAGTGACTTCAATGCTAGATGTACAATTAAAGATAATCTGAAAATTTGAGTGAAAACGGACCATTATTCATGGTACAAATTGGGAAAAACTGATCTGATCAATTCCTTAATTCTCCCAACTATATATATATTTTTTTTTACAATTTAATTACATTTTAGGTGCATGGAAATCTCACAAAGCAATAAAATGGCTCTACATTCCATTCCAAACATTTAGGGTTGACAGATTTTTTTATGGCCTGTTTTATGTCTTTTTTACATGGAAAAACGGTTGGGAAAATTAAAAAATGGTTGGGAGAATTTACTGTTAATCACTGTAAGAGGGTGTCATACATCGACACCTTCAAAGAAAACCATAGATATCTTTGTGGTTTGAGAATTTTTTCAGGATCTTTTGCATGTCAGAGGGTAAGTACAGTAGAAGGAATATAGTAAGTAACATTTTATACAAAATTTAAGCATTTTTTGTCATCAACTTTCAACAATGTTACCAAGTCACTTTAAAGCAGGTGGTCTTTATGTAAAGGTTCCTTCATTACAGGTTTGAATGAGAAACCATGCTCAAGGGAAACAAAACTCGGTCTTTGTAGACAGGTGGTCGCTAGAGCAGGTTTGACTGTATGTGTATGGTTTAATACTTGGTATAAATTTACCAGAATGTTACATGACCATGACAGTCTGTAGTAAGGCCAATTTGGAACAAATTGTCCAAAATAGAAAGTCAGAAAAACCAAGTGGGAGGTACCGGTATCATAAAGGATGATCAATGAAAACAAGACTAATGGTCAATAATAACGACATATAAACTATTATAATTATCATTATTATTATTTATACCACGCTTTACAGTAAATGACGATCCCATAAATACATGTAATAAGAAAAAAATGTATTACTAGGTATTAGTTCTTCTGATATCTTTTGTAAGTTTTAAGTACTTTTACTTTCTTTTTCAAATAGTAATGTACTATGGGTAATTTTACAGTAGGTAATTAAATTAAAGAACAATTTAAAATACTTGGCAATAAACATAAAAAGGTTTCACTTTCTCTCGGGTTATATCCTACTTGACAAAGAGGATTAGATTTCAATGTCATATCTTAAAATATCAAACTACAAACCATAAGTTAAGATTTGGTCATCAAAGGACACTAGATGGCAAAGCAAACCCTTTAAATAGTTATATAAACACATTTTCACATATATGTAGAAACTTTTAAAACCACATCTAATACTTACATGGAAAAGGCATAATAGTTTGAATTCATTAGTTTTCTTGTGTTTACTTTGACAATAAAATAAGTGTCACTTTCTTTCTGGAATATATCATGCTGATAAAGTTGATTGGATTCCTGACAAAGAAGACAAAAGCTCTGTGTTTAGAATACTCTAGTGAAACAATCTGATAAATCGGTGGCAAAAATGAATGTATTTCAGCCTTACAATTTTAAAGGAACTTCAACATCACTTCAAAGAGCAAAACTATCAAAAAATTAAAATCAATGTCTATTATTTTGTCACTTAGTACTCCTAAATTATTTATACAAGAGCGATGTAATGCATGAACTTTAAAAAAAAAATCAATTTAACAGAAAGAATGAAGGATGACAATAAAGAATAAATGATTGATAATTACTTACCAGTCGTTGTTATTGATGGCATCACCATAGCCTGGTGTATCTACAACAGTCAACCGAAGCTTAACTCCTCTCTCCTCAATCTCTACCGTTGAGGCATCGATACTCACAGTCTTATCAATCTTCTCTGCAATGAGAACAGCAAACAGACAATTTTTAGAAAAGTAACATAAGTTAAAGCCTGTCTGTACTAGTTTGGCCAGGAGGGATTAGACCACCCAGGGTGCTTACTGACAGGTGGCTATTTCATCAACTCAGCGCTCAATTAACATACGAAAAAGAAGATCATGATCATGGGGGACCAACGGGCACTGCTTAGGAGTTGTTTTATATATATAGAGGGAGCAAGTAGTACAGTGGGGCTTTAAATGATCTAGGACTTTGGAGAAAATAATACTAATTCATTGTATTCAAACTTTTTTCGATATTTTTTTTTTTTTATCCAGGCTTTTGTTTATTCTCAATAAAAGATGAAAAATAGAAAATAAAGACAAATTAGACGCATCTGTTTGATAAAAACTTAAGATTGATTTTCATAAATAATTGCAAAATTTTGAAAGATGACTGCACATAAAGGCTACAAATAGTTGGATGTGGGTGGATGCAATCAAAGAGTCTTGCTTGTGCTTTGAAAGAAAGCAAAATAAAATAGTTTATAAAATAGTATGCTCAATCTTACAGCCTATTCACACATTGTAATTGTGGGGTAGGGCAGGAAAATAAATATGTGGAAAGAAATGGGAAAATGGAGTGATAGACACAGAATGTATGAGGGAAATACAAAAGTGACACAAAAAATGAGGTAGAAATAAGAAAAAGGATGAATATGCAGGGGTAGAGATAGATGGAGATAGGTGGATGATACAGATTACACAACATACTGTGTTTTGAATGACAGACGTACATACCTGCTGCACTAGGAATGTGTCTCTCTGGATACAGATCAGTTAGGAAGAGACTGTTGATCAGAGTGGACTTGCCCAGACCAGACTCACCTAGTCAAAGAAAGGATAAATTTATATGAATTAGCTTTTAAACAAAATCAATTCTGGGACACAAATTACACCATCTGGTGAACACTGGCACAGTCAATAATGACTAGTAAATTCACAAGAGTTTTATTTATTACCTTGAGAACACCTTGCTAAGAAAAAATAGTCTCATGATCCAGTCAAATTTAAACATACTTAACTGTACTCAGCACTCATTAAGAGGTATAAATTCATCAACTACATAGATATTCATCAAGAGCGATTTTTGCGATATGGGAAATTATTTAAAAAGAACACAATATAAAATCAATTTTTAAGTAAAGAAAAAAAATCTATATTTCCAGCAATTATTGTTAACAAAAATGTAAAATTTATGGGATTTACATGTTGATTACATTGCATTAAAAAATTACATTATCAACTAGTGTTAAGAATAGGCAAGCAATATATAATTTGTGTGTGTAATCGAATGGCAGATATTTTCAACTTATGCCATGCCGTCACAATGTGAAGGATAAAGTGGAGACTTACCGACCACCATGAGCGTGAACTCAAAGCCCTTCTTGACAGACTTCCTATGCACCTGGTTTGGTAGGTTGGCAAAACCAACATATTCAGGGGTCTCTGGGTTGCTGAACTGGAAAGGGGAAATAACAAGTCTGGTCACAGTACGCAACAAGGTACAAGTATTTGATTCAATGACAGCCAACTAGTACCACACTGTGCCGGTCTGCTCAATGAATATTTCTAAGACATACAATTCAACCCCCCCCCCCACCCCATTTTAATTGTAACTAGAAGGGTTGAAAGTATTGAAATATTAAAAGCCATTTACAATTATGTCAGTACATGTACATGTAAATGGGTATATTCAGTAAAAGATGGGATATAATTACTGAATACTTCAGGGTCATCATGTGTACGCATTACTTTATTTCAATATGCACAAACCGCATGGAGTTTCCTTGCAAATTTGAAGTGAAGCAGGTACATGTACCAATTGAATTATCACTTTCTGTTGAAACTGAGGAACATTTCATTTCACAAAACACCATGTAAAGTACTACAATTAGTTAAAAACTGAGAAATTTATCCTAACTCTGAGTTGAAATAATATGCAGACTGCCTGACATCCCCCCCCCCCCCCTCCCCTTCAATACATGGTAAGGTAACGGTGACAATCACTTTATCGTACAGGTATGTAATAAATAACCCTCCAACAGTAGAAGTTCAACACCACTGCAGGCACTGCTCCTTGAGTAATGGGAGACATGTGGTTATCACTGAATAGCCTTGATACATCCACTTTCAATTAAAGCTCGTCTGTCCAGGAAGCAGAAGGGATTACACAAGGGTCATGTGCAGTCACATATATTATTCTTTGCTGCAATGGGCTTTTCTTTCAAACCATATATGATGAAGCCACTTTATGCAGTTTAGAAATAGGTCATGTACCGATAGCTTTATTACAACCATATGGACAAGAACATAGTCCCGTGGTAATCACATGTAAATGTTCGTGCTCTATGCACTTAGGCTAAAATCATTTGAAGTTTCAGGGAAGGGGAGTGGTGTAATTGGCAAATCTAGTTGGAACTGTCATTGTAAGTGAGATGTAAGCAAGATCTGGACCCCATCTTATAAACAGCTGGGATTAATCACAACTTATTTGTGATTGATATCAATCGCAACTATGTACATAAGAGATATGAGACTTCAAACTGATTTGGATCAATCGCAACTCTTTACAACACCGGGCACTGATAAAATAACTATTTATTTTACGTAAACTATCAAACTGCAATTTTGTTTTTGAGGCTTTTGAACATGTTAGAACTTAGATACAATGATTCTGATAAATTTGACGATTAACCTTTTTTTTAAGTGCAATCCTTCCAAGATTACAAAGCATGAATGTCAAAGAAAAGAGATTACATAGCATAAATGTAATCTCATGCACTAACTGTCTACAATACTTTTAACTGTTTTGTCAAGAACAAACTGCAATGCCGATGCTCGTCATTGCACTGAACTTAGGTGATCGTTAAGGTTTTAAAACAAATTTTAAAAGGACAAAGAAAGTGGAACATATCTCACCACAAAGCAATATTAATAAAGCTGGAGTATTAAAGGGAGCTATGATTCATACACATGAGAATTTGGCACTCATTTTTAAAATGAAAAATAAATCAACTTTGATTTCCTCCATGTTTTATCATTTTTGTCAGCCCCCTGTTTCATACCAGAATTTATCACATGACCCGTTTGTTAATAATTGAAATAAAATCAGAAATTAAAACTCAAACCAGCAAGAGGTCACATTAGCCTTAGGAAGAAAGAGTGACTAATATAAGCAATACCACATGCCCACACAATAAACACACAGCACAGACACAACCGTTAACGTCAGCTCAACACAACACATTGGGGCTGAACCTGTCCATGGCTTCCCGATTCCCAATCCGCTAGTGCAGGGCATATCGCTAGGAACACACCGCTACTCTCTTCTCTACCGCTCTGAACCCGGACACAAAATGCCGTCAACTTACCGCTGCTCTGTCTGAAATGAGAACAAAAATGCACAGAAATAAGTACATGGTTAACAGATATGTTGAAGGATCACATGAAAAATCAAGAAAATGTAACTTAAATTGGAAAATAAGGCGTAAATATCACTAAGAATAAAAAAATTGTTGTTCTTACCTGCCGCCATCTTGAATGCTCGTATGAAATTGTAAAGCGCCACCACCAACCAGAAAACTGCCACGCCTATAATCACCAATGTCAAATACTCCCGAATACGGCACAAACTTTGTGTGGTTGCACCCGGGGTTGCACCCTACGTTTGCTCCCTATACAATTTCCGCAAATTTCCTATTCTTTAACATTTTCGTTCAATTTTGCTATTTAAGTACACTCGATTTTGATGAATGTACATGATGGAGAAAAAATAAACAACAACAAACAAAATTGTGACAGGCGAGCCGATCAATATTTTATTTATAACTCAACTTATAAATTGTGGTCTCCAAAGTTTTTCTCGTTATATTATATTCAATCGAAAGAGCTAGGACCATTTTGTTCTCAACAACTTTTAATTCCTGAGTCTCTCTCAATATAAAAGTTAGTATGAACTTAAAGGTTTAACTGAGACTCAATTTCCGGGCTCAATTCCCTTACAAAAAAGATCATAAGTGTAAGCAGGCGCGTACGCAGGATTTTTTTCAAGGGGGGGGGGGGGGGGGGGGGGGGGGGGGGGGGGGGGGGGGGGGGAGGGGGAGGGGGGGGGGGGGGGGGGGGGGGGGGGTAGAGGTAGAGGACATTTTTTTTTTTTTTTTTTGGTCTCGAAATTTGAAAAATTGACATTTTGCTCCGTTGGGGGGGGGGGGTAAGGTCAGCTTATTTAGGTCAGCCATGGGAATTTTTTTTTTTTTTTTTTTTTTAATAAATAAAAAATAAATAAAAAATAAATAAACAAATCCAAAGGGGGGGGGGGGGGAGGGGGGGTAGGGGGTTATAGGGGGGGGGGGGTTGCACAAAGAAAAATACCAAAGGGGGGGGGTTAACCCCCCAAACCCACCTGTGTAACTATCGGTCGCTACATCGCATTAGGTCCTCTTCCAGTTTTTGTTTCAAAGAGTAAAAGGCACGAAACATCGCGTTCGTTTAGGTTTATCTTGTCCTGAGTTATCAAAGTGGATCAAAATAATTTTAGGAAGGACTAGGCCATATATAGTTCATGAATTTCAAATAATAGAGTTATATGTTAGTGTGTATTTTTTTAACTGTTAAGTTTGGGCAAAAGGCGCAAATCTGTTCACAAAGGGCGCCTTTCCCTGAAGATACGCCACAGCTTTAAGACGTCACACATAACGGAACAAAACGTCACCGTGGTGCTCTCTAAAAATAAAAGACAGAGAGAAAAAAGGATAGAAGAAATGTGGAAAAACTGATAAAGGAAGAACGAAATATGGCGACCTTTAATTTCATTGATGAATATAGATATGGCATTACAGAAGATTATTAGAAACCACTTTGCTACCTAATGAAATATGAGGTGTTGATTATTTTAATGTCGGTAGTTTCAAAACTGTCAGGGGCTGCACCCCCCCCCCCCACCTCACTACCACAACCACCGTGGTACCCGCTCATTACATATGCGTTTACTTAACCATTCCACAATTGCGGTCTTAAACCCATAGAAAAAAAATCCAAATATAATTTTTTTTAAAGTACAATTATTAAGCCTCAAAATGTCCATCTGTCTTGACATAGCTTGATGCCGCACCTTCCTTATTGTGAAGGGCGCCATCTCGAATTGTGCGCCTCTGAATATGATGTCATCAGTGTATAGTCCACAGAATTATAATTCTGTGGTATAGTCCCATATTTCGTAACCGTATTGATTTCAGATTATCCCATTGCATCATAGTTCCATGTGATTACATAAGAACACGTGTAGCTTGTGACATGGAACCATGTGTCGTTGACTCGATCGTTAGGTAGTTCGAATAATATGTCACTCTTGTGCAATGTCGTATAGTAATTTCAATATAATTATATGCCTGTGTGTTGCGCTTCATCATTCGTAATGTTCGGACCCATTTAATTCTATTACTCGAAATATGGACCTCCTCCCCCCCCCCCCCGATCAGCTTTGCAGGCCTAAATATATAATTAGTAATTCATTTGCAAATAATTATTTGTATTAATTTGTTTTATTCGTAGTTTTATTTCTACAGGGTAGCATATTGTCAGTAATTACAACACTAGCTGCTTTCCTCATTGGCATGGGAGGATCTAGCTTTTCAGTGCCAGGGGGGGGGGGGGGGGGGGGGGGGGAGTTCACCCAGTGGCGGATCCAGAATTTTCCAAAAATCGCGCCGTTATACTGTTTTATTTTATTTTATTTTTTCCCCTTCTTCCCCCCTCTCCCCCCCCCCCCCCCCCCCCCCCCCTTGGCCGCCCAAGGGGGGGGGGGGGGTTAAACCGCCGAACCCCCCCCCCTAGATCCGCCCCTGATATGCCTTGTTGGTCTAGGTAATAATACTGATTAAAGATTGAAATTAGAGACAATTAAGTTAATTGCTAAGTAATACATACAGCTAACAACTAAAATATTCGTAGACCCCTTGTAAATTTGATTTTTTTTTTTTTTTTTTTTTTTTTTTTTTTTTTTTTTTTTTTTTTTTTGCATTTTTATTTAACTCAAGAATGAAGGGTGGACTGGTCGAACCTTTGCTGATTAATTTTAGATTTAAACGTCACATTCTCAAGATATATATTCGGGACAAATCAAATTTTCACATACTTAACAAATTACAAAACTTGGTAAGCGTAATTAAGTTTGTACCAAACATGTATCAATAAGGAAGCCAAGACTTTCGTTGAAAATTACGACGACATCGCTGACAACACAACCCAAAGACAAACAAATAAATTTGCCGGAATGTAAACAAGGACTAGAGGTGGCCATTCTTTGCGTCACTGACATCATCAAGTACCATGTCTGAACAACAGACTATATACATAATGGTTGAATGAACTTTGAAAGATGTCCTCATTTATGCATAAACGTGATTTCTCATTCTGCATGATGACGTCATCACCTGTACTTTAGTGGTATTTAAACAACCTTTGATCTTTTTGTCATATAGTTTGCTTCATTCATTCATATTGTTAGCTTACAGAACACACGTGAACGAATCATATAATGGAGGAATACAGAAGTTTGTTTGTACAATGCTGATGAAGTCTGGTATTGCATCATACTATACAATTCAAGCGTCAAGAGTAAAATGAAATGGGTCAAACTCGTTCCATCTCAGAAGCGCAACGTGGATGAAATGACGAGGGCATTTCAATGAATTTTCATGTAATTCGCATGGCATTGATCAAGCCTGAATCACCTTACGTTTCCTCATTATTTTATCATTGAATAATTATTGATATAGGCCTATATCATATATACATGAACTTAACATTCTGTTCACTCATTATTTTTTTCTTTCTTTTGAGATTTGATTGACTTCCGGGGGGGGGGTATATATACTCAGATTTGGTTTGGACGGAGGTGTGCGGCTGAAGCGTCTAAACCCATTTTAGGGGTCATTTTGGCAAAAAATGGTACTCATTATTACGGACTTCCATTCAAAACGCAACTCATGTTTAAGGTTTTGACGTATTCTATTTCATGAATAATTTACATTAACTCATATATTAATCCCTTAATTTACTTAGTTACATGCAGCTTTCCCAGTTTCAGCTGTTGTTTCTCCTATAATTTCTTTCAAACGTTGCACGCTTTCTTGTCCGGGTTTCGTTTACTTCCCATTTCCAGCCTCTTTTGCTTTCTTTGATTGATACCCATCAGTTTGTAACAATAATGTAGCAAATTAGAAAAGAACTTGTGGGGAAAATCCACTAAAAAGCAGACTGAGCAGCACATTTCGAAAGTACTCACTTTCTCTTGAATTTATAATATGAAACAGGGATTTGACGACCGACTGCAGCATGGGTGCATGTGACGATTCCATTGAAAGCAGTGGATATTTTCCAAGGCGTTTCGCTTCCAACTTATAAAGTAGTTAGAAGCGGAGCTCAAATTAATGATATAATAAATCTGCATCATCGACGAGGACTTTGAATGAAGAAGCGAAATGATATCAATATTTTTGCGGGATTTTGGATCTGAAATGTTCACTTTAGTGAATTTTATGGGCGATATATTATCCTGAAGAAAGTAGTAACCCATGTTTAAGGCAAAGATCTGAAAAGTGGGGGACTTTTAGGGATTTTGCAGCACAAAATCATACCCCATGTTTAGGAAATTTTTGCAAAAATGTAACTCATTATAGAGCAGCACATCCCCATATACCTTATTAGACGAGTACCCCCCCCCCCCCCAGATTGACTGTGACATATAGACCGAATATCTTTAAGCGAGATAGGAAACCCAAGTAATATAGATATGCTCCTTTTTCAAATCCTAAAAAATCGACACCCTTGTAAACTGTAACAACTACTGCTAAAATACCGAAGATACAAAATCGGAGGGAGCCTCGGGGGGGGGGGGGGGGGGGGGTGGGTTATTACAGTGGCTTATGCTCATCATAATCAAGTACTCATATTTTAATCTCGGTTGTGCCTCTGTCTTTCAACCCCCCCCCCTTTCTCTCTCTCTCTCTCTCTCTCTATCTCTCTCCTCTCCTCTCTTTCTCCCTATTTCCTTCTCTTTCTCTACCTTTTTGTTTCTCTCTCTTTTCTATCAGTGGATCTATCTTTGTCGTGTGTTATTCTGTCTCTCTGTCTGTCCGTGGCCCCCCTCTTTCTCTCTAGTATTATGTATCTCTCTCTTCTCTTCCATTGTTATCTCTTTCCCCCTCTCTCTCTCTCTCTCTCTCTCTCTCTCTCTTTCTCTCTGCCTGTCTCTCTCTCTCTCTCTCTCTCTCTTTCTCTTCTCTTCTCTCAGTGGATCTATCTCTGCCGTCTGTCTCTGTCTGGCTGGCTGCTTCTTTCTTTCCTCTCCCAGAGAACGGACTTTTTTTTGGGGGGGGCAGAAGTAAAATCTGCATCACCACCACTCTAACTTGCAGACCCCACAGAACGCTTTTCAAAGTTGAAAGTTCAAAGGTAGAGCGTAGCGAGCAGAGCGAGTGGAGCGTAAATTGTCGTGGGGTCCAGGGGCTTTGGCCCCGGAAGCTCAGGGGATTTAGGCATTAAATCACGGTCAGATAAGCATATTTAGATACCTTATTTGGTATATTGGCAGGTCACTAATTGGAGGGGGTCTAGGGGGCTGAACCCCATGAAGTTTAGG